TCCAGGCGGTGTAGGAGACTTGTTGTCTGCAGAGTTGCTTAGCACATGTGAGGCAGAACGGGCGGTGCATGCCTCATGTGAGACAACGGCGATGGCGTGGATGAGCCTGTCGCTGGATACAACTGTCTATATACACACTATCTGTGGGAGGAGAGAGGGAGAAAAAGGGTGTGTGGAGGCGATGAATGTTGTGCTTCCCTCATGACAGGTACAGAGTCGTCAGATGCGCCTGCTGGGGTGTGTGGGCCTGGGTCAGGAGCAGGGGCTGCGTCAGCAGAAGCGGATGAGGGCTCGTGACAGCAGCTGGGTCCACGACAGCAGCAGGGTGCAGGACATTAGCAGGGAGTACCTGAGGGAGAAAAGAGGGGTGTGTGGGTCCGCACTCAGGAACAGAGGCCGCGTCAGGGGCGGCAGGGGTTACTGCTGGGCCGGGGTCGGCGTCTGAGGCAGGACGGGTGTGCTGGGGTCGGTAGGACGTGGTGCTTGGGGTAGGAAGAGGAGCTGGTGTCTGCTTAGAGTAGCAGAGCTGCTCTAGGGTGTCTAACCTGCGGTGTAGAGACAGTAGTTGTAAAGCCGATGAGAGCTGCTTCTGTGTGGATAAGCCAGTCTTCCATGCTGCTTGATGGTGGGAGCGTGATCAGTTTCTCCTCCATCCTGTGTGAGTGCGAATCTCGGGGTCACCATTTGTAGGGTTTCGTGATATTATGTTGTCTAGCACTCAGGATGGATGGAAACTCTAAGGTGGTGGTTTTCTTATATAATATAAGTTATATGGTAGACAGTCTGGTGCTGGAGATGCCGTGTGGTGAGGAGCTGCTCAGTAGACACGTTCGGTGAGTAGCGTGCTGAAGGAGGTAGATGTGCAGGAGCTTCGTTAGAGAAGATGTTGCCTGTTGCTGGCCTCCAGGTTGAATGAGAGCTGGACAGCGAGGAGCTTGCTTGGAGGAGGTGTTGCGTGTTCAGGAACCGAGAGCAGAATGAATCTCAATGGAGAGACAGAGCTTATATACACAGCCGCCGGAAGTAAACCGTGGGAAGTCGCCGGTTTCTTGACTCCGTTGCTAGGGAAGACGTGGCTGGTTGCTAGGATACTGTGGCATCTGGTGACGCCCCCCCTGGGCCGCTCGTTTGGTTGCTAGGGAAGACGTAGCAGGTGGCTGGTTGCTAGGATACTGTGGCATTGGAATGCGGCTACGCAGTTGTAGGGGAGACGTCACTACAATATATATATATATATATATATATATATATATATATATATATATATATATATATATATATCTTGATAAAATCACAGGAAAGAAACAACGGAGCACCTTAGCTTTCGTCTTTATTCAAGACATCTTCAGAGGCCTCTGAAGATGTCTTGAATAAAGAAAAAAAGCAATGTATTTATCATTTATCTTATCCACGTTTTCATTGTGGATCTACATATATATGATATATATATATATATATATATATATATATATATATATATATATATATACACTTTTCCATGGCAACATTTCCTCTACGGCTGATTATTTTTTGTCCAGATAATTTATCTTTTATTGATGTGTTCCGGATAATTTCACTATCAGACATTCTCCTTTTTCTGATGATTTAATTTATTTAGGTTATTTCTTGTGAGTTTATTTTCTCGTTTCCTGGTCATTTTTCTTTCAAGTTATTTCTGTCTATCTGATCATTTCTTTTATATATTATTGGACGTTTGTTTGTCTTTTTTCTTTTTTCTTTTATCTTTGTCTATAATACTTCGTATTTTATTATTATTATTATTATTATTATTATTATTATTATTATTATTATTATCATTATTATTATTATTATTATTATTTTTACTACTGTAGTAGTAGTAGTATTGTTTTGCTTTTCCGTACTACTATACTTGAGTAGGTACTGTACGTACACGTGACCAACCATATATCTACCTCTTTGTTAGTTTAATTTTGTCTCATCCTTTCCTGTACGTTCTTGTATGTCTTAGTTTACGAGGTACAGTACATACTGTACGTCCGTTTGGTGCAATGAGATAGGGATCGTCCTTCCTTCTGGCAAATCTGTGTGTCCGTGGATCCGTTCTCCACTGAATGTGTGTCTGTGGATCCATACCCTTAGAAATCGGCAAACGTCCGTGATCGTCCGTTCTAAGTGAGGGAGGATGGTGAACAGCTGAAACAACTTTGGTCTTGACTGTCTGCGGAGTTTAGGAAGTTCACTGCTGCTGTGGCTAGGGTGAGGAGAGAATGAACTAGGATGTGGATAGGGTTAAAGTATGGTGCCTGATGATAGGGTGAAATTAGGATGTCCGAGGGTAGGGCGAGAAGATGAAAGTAGGGTGCCCTAGGATAGGGCGAGGAGAGGATGGAAGTAGGGTGGCCGAGGATAGGGCGAGCAGAGGATGAAAGTAGGGTGCTCTAGGACAGGGTGAAATTAGGGTGCCCGAGGGTAGGGCGAGGAGAGGATGAAAGTAGGGTGCTCTAGGATAGGGTGAAATTAGGGTGTCCGAGAATAGGATGAGGGGGTCAAAGTATGGTGGCCGAGGATAGGATGAGAGGGTGAAAGTATGGTGGCCGAGTATAGGGTGAAATTAGGGTGCTCGAGGATAGGGTGAAATTAGGGTGTCCAAGGATAGGATAAGGAGAGGATAAAAGTAGGGTGCTCGAGGATAGGGTGAGAAGAGGCTGAACCTAGGTTGCCCAAGATAGGGTAAAACTAGGGTGCTGGGTGCCAAAGGATAGGGTGAAAACAGGGTGCCATGTATAGCTTGGATGAGGTTTTTTTTTTTTTTTTTTGATTAGCCCACCCTGGCACAGGTCACTGACCCATATCAGGGTCTGGGGGGCGAAAATGTAATAATAATAATAATAATAATTCATATTAAATAAAATTTATAATGAAAATACAAAATTAAAAATAAAATAATAATTCATAGTAAATACAATTTATAATACAAAATACAAAAATAAAAATAAAATAATAATGATAACAATAATAACAATACTAATAATAATAATGATGAAGAAACAAAAAGAAATGCAAAAATTAAAAAATCAATAGTGAGAAACAATATAGGTATGTTGTGTTGTCATAGTGAGAGAAACAATTGAGACCCCGCAATTGTGTGTAAATGAGGCAGAAAGTCAGATCAGCAACCTGGGAATTGGTTACAATTTTCGTGATGCCATATGGCAGCACATTATGCTTCCAATATCTTCCCAGGCGGTAGTACCTCCCTGTTCGGTAGCTGCCTACTACCTACTACAGTACTGTAGGATTCAATTTAGGGTAAGATTGGCGGGGTATTGACCTTCGTTCAGGAGAAAGATAGAGAGAGGTTAAGACAGGGAAGAACATAGCAAGGGGAAAACTAATGTAGGGATGGATAGTGTGTCATTGAGCACACTTAAGTCGATAACAGCGTCAAAGTTTCCAGCGGCCCAAAATTATGTTCTACCGAACTTGAAAATTGAATTTACGTTTAAATTTCGTAATACAGTATAATGTTATATACGTAAACCTGATGTGACGCAATAGCTCTAAACAGCATATATGAAAACTATACACACAATCATAAAAACAGTGGTGATGTATTCATGGCAACAATACTAAGTGCCGTAACAGCAATAGTTGTTAACCAGGTCTCCTCAAGGTGTTAAGCGGGAGAGTTCAGCACCTGAAGGTGGACTTTTGTAACTGCAGTAGGGGGCCTCTTGTTATTTGTAAAGTAATAATTTATTTTTGATTTTTGATTTTTAAACGAATTTAACTTTTATTTTACTTATATCACATCACAGTTTTAACTTATGATTTTCTTTTTCGGCGTCAAATAGCCACAAGCTGCGACGCCAGATACATGACCCAATCAATCAACAAGGTTTGTTTTTATCATTTTCGCCAGAGCTGTACGTTGAGGAGGGCGGGAGACCGACTTCTTGAAGCATGTTTTTGTCTCCGCGATGTGAGAGTCATTTTGGTATCGTTTTACATATTTTTACAGTTTTAATTAAAAAGAAAGTAAATATACCTGGGAATTTATAATATCATCGATAATTTTAAAGGGAACAACGTCATGCTAGCGCTTCATTGTGATAAGGTATGATTTTCAATTGTGATTGTTCAATCAATTTTATATATATATATATAAATATATATATATATATATATATATATATATATATATATATATATATATATATATATATATATATATATATATATATATATATATATATATATATATATATATATATATATATATATATATTTGTAAACATTATCCCTAAATAGATAATGGTGACTTCAGATCTGTTCCAACTCTCATTTTGTCTTCCTTAGAGTTGGGTATACTGTATGTCCCAGCCTGTGTTGTGTACAAGATGGTCTTCCCACTTTCAAAGTTGATTTGATCACAGTGCGCATGGGGAGGGTGATCTTCAGTCCATGTGCGCCTTGTTATAGACATATTATTATTTTCCTATTTACCTTGTTCCACTTACGATAAATATTGGAAAAGGTCTCAGTGAATGTTGGAAGAAATGGTATTTGCTGTCAGTAGAGCAAGGTATATAGCACTGCAAGGTATAACAAGGAAAAACTGATTATTAGTTACTGAAGATCCCCAGGGACTTTCCAACCACCTTTTATAAATCAAGCCAAACTTATCGTAGCATTGTTTAGTTGGTCAGGTTTGGTTATAGGGTAGCTATTGTTGGTTCGTGTTTATAGTCACATATAATTATTTACATATAGGTCACACTTCCTCGCCTTGCTGGTGAAAATAGAATGAGAGCCGAACATGGGTCGGTATTATCTGCCAAACATTGAGTTTGTCGCCATGAAGACTATTGTAGTTCTGAGAATTGGAGAGAAATTAAATGGACGAAATGAAACTACTAAGTTTTTGTGTTGTCTTATATAAATAACAGTGGTTTATTGTATCACAAATGTCTTTGTTGTATAATGTATATCGGTAATAATCATACATCTTTATACAGTGATAAGGTGTTGAAGTTCCGGAAGAGTGTTGATATATTTCCATCACGGACCTTCAGCATTCACTCCACAATACCCCCAGTCAACGTATGACTTCCTCCTCATCTCCGCTTCTTCCTGGTAAACCATGGCGAGGAACAGAGGAAGCTCACCAGACGAAGAGTGAGGGAAGTTGTCGTCTGGGATGTGAGGTGGGGTGCTGGGTGTTGCTCCTGCTGGTGCCGGAGCTTCAACGGTTGTAATGTGCCTGTGTATGTGTGTGCTTGAAAATTAACGAGATTTATGAGAGATGTGTCTGAACTGAGCTACAGCTGCTGACTCCTATATCGACTCTCCCACACATGTTCCGGTCATCAGTTTCAAACAGTCATTTATAACTGTAGCAAGGGAAGAGATATTGAGTAGCGGTAGTGTGTGTTGTGTGGTACGCCCCTTGAAGATGATTTTTTTGTTGACTCTTGTCGGGTCGGGGATATGCGTGGATTTGGGAGGTGTTGTGTCAGTTTGAGACCCCCAGAGGCACAGTACGCCAAGAGATATGTACCAGGGGTGAACTCCAACATGGGATCGCAATCCTAGTATACTGATGCCGACGATGGTGATTATGTGCATTGAACCTCGGTGGAAGTGAATTAACAGTGATAGTAATACGAAATACAGATAACAGCATCATCAGATAAAAAAAAAACATATCAGTGTAAGTAAAACATAATACCAAAAGTCTAAAGAAAATCCTCTATAACTAAGGACGCATCGTTAAGATCAAGGTACAGGAGCAAGGGCATTCATCACCAACAATAAGAAATACGACACTTACGGAAGAACCAGTAGAACGAGGTGAAAAACAGAGGGGAGGAGGATGAAGTTGAGGAGGCGGTGTATGAGAGGGAGGCTCCCCTTAGTAAGGTAGAAGTATGCCGCGGGGGTTTCTTGAGCGCCACCTCAACCGCCGTGGGGGAGGTCTCGACTCCTCCTCCTCCTCCACGCGCAACCCCCACCCTCACCCCGACCCCCAGCACCCCGCCCCCTCTTCAACCACCACCAATTTCAGAAAAGGTAAGTCAATTATCCGAACGACCTCTGTCATCATTACTACCATATAATAGGTAGACATATTCAATATAAACAAATTATACTAATATCCATTCGTTAAACGTGCAGTACATAAATAGTTTAAAAATGCAAACAATCCTGAACAATGAGTATAATTAGCCCAGGATAATCCAATCATTATTACTATTCTTCATTATTAATTTATAATCATAACTAGTATCACTGCAGTCATCATACTGAAAAAAAATCCAGTTTACGCTTCCAGTTTCATGACGTCATGTAATTGGAAGCTTATAAGGGGTGATGTAGAGTATTTCTGTGACGTCAATGCCACGGGTAGAAGTTGTGGATAAATGTCTTCATTCCATTTTCAAAATTATTTATGTTATTTATTTATGTTATTTATGTATGTATGCATCTTTACCTCTCAGTTTATGTTTCTAAACCATACACCGATAAATGTATACTGTGCAGATTTTAGAATGGATATACTGTATAGATAAAAGGGTATATACTGTATAGATAAAAGTGTATTTCCACACACGATCCGTTTCCCCCTAGAATGCCAAGCGGATGAAATCAAATGGAAATCCACACACGATTTCCCTTCATTCGTTGCCATTCTTCTTCACTTTATCTCTTCTAAGGTTCTACCATTTTGTTCTCTTATTATTTTGGTTAATATTCATTTTAGCGCATGACTTGGGCTTCAGGATGACAGTAAGTTCTTCGTAGGCAGAATTTAATTTTGAATCGATATTCTTCTATGCTATTTTTTGTGCAAGTTTATATTAACAGAGGTAGAAGACTATATTTAGATCGATTGCATTCGTCTTTTATTTCTTCGGTGGGCTGATTGGGTGTAGTTGGTGGTGAGGTGAGTGGATGGGCTGCGGTTGGGGGTGGGGGGGTCTTTGTGGAGTTAAATCAGGGACTTCGGTTCTTCTTCTTCTTCTTCTTCTTCTTCTTCTTCTTCTTCTTGGTATTAAGTTAGGTTAGAAAAGTCACCCACTGTATCCTGAAATATAAGAGGCGTTAGGTTAAATTCTTTAGGCTCTTGTTTTTCTTGCTACCTTAGGTTTTTTGTCCTTTTTTCTTTTCTTTAGCCTCCCTGTTAACAAACCAGACACACACTGATTTTATTCTACCCCAAAATTGCTTATAGCTCGGTTAATATAAATATGAATAAGAAATGCCATAGAAGATAATCGAATCAGAATTAACGTCTATGTAAGAATAACCTACTGTTATCCAAAGTCCAGGTCATGTGCAAAAACGAATAATTACCGTTATTATATAAACAGTTCCGTGGATTTTTTTTCAATATAAGTAGATCATGATTGGTGAAAATAAATATATTTCTGGTTTTTATAAAGAATTATGATTTGGCTTAAATGAGTAATTATGGTTAATATTTAGTGAAAACAACGTCCTTCTATGTTTCTCTAACTAATATAGTCCACTTTTTTGTATGATTTGTTACAGTTATATAATGGTTCTTTGGGACATTTAGAAAGTAATTAAATTTTCAAGATTTTTTTTGTTATTAACAAAACCGCCCATACTACTACTACTACTACTACTACTAATAATAATAATAATAATTATAATAATAATAATTATAATTATTATTATTATTATTATTATTATTATTATTATTATTATTATTATTATTATTATTATTATTGTTGTTGTTGTTGTTGTTGTTGTTGTTGTTGTTGTTGTTGTTGGCTGCGCATATTCTTTTTTTCTTCATTTGGATGGAAACAATGGAAACAATTACAGCCTCAGTGTGTCATTACCCTTGGAATACCTCCACTTAAAAACTTTTTTTTTACCGACGAGGTAAATCGCGTTTTAATGTGCCTTTGTTAAGGACAATAACGTAATTAAACAATAGCCAGACTCTATTGAAATATTTGTTTTATAAAACTTCATTGATTTTGTGCATGACGTACAACTTGAACCTGTGACATCTGATTAAATATATGGCACTATGAGGTCACCTGAAGAACACAGAGTTCTATCTTGAATATTTTTTATTGTTGTTGTACTAGTGTTAGTTGCGCGCTTAAAAACCTTCGTTGTTGAACCGCAGTAATAACATTATAACCTACAACCCGAAGATCAGTATCCCAGACCTTATTTCGGTTTAATATTAGCTTAATTTTACCAAGGATTCTATACTTGTACAGAATCCTTGACCTAACCCATGCAGTGTTAGGGTGTTTAATCATTAATTGAAATTAGCTTGGGGGCGATTCTTTAGGTGATTCTGTGATTCCTTATATATATTTTAAAGCTTAGCGTGTTACAGGAATTACATTTAAGGTTCATGACATAAATATCTTTATTGAACTTTAAAGACGGATTTGTTTATTAGTTAACTGGAAACCAAAAGATCAATTGTGTGTTTATACGTTTGATGTTAGTGCAGCCTTTGTGACTTAGGTCTTTTATGCTGTAATGACACTGTTGATGTTCTTTGTTGTTTAACTTGAAAGTAAAATAAAATTGGTTGAAAAGGTAAATATTACGTGATTACTAAAATTATATTATGTGACACGAGCGGTGAGTGGTGGTGAGGAAGGCAAGGTTAGAAACGGAAAAAGTTCCATTAGCAGCGAAGGAAGAAAAAGTTGATTCCATGCCGTAAACGAGCATCAGATACCCTGATCAGCACTTATGACCCCAATGACGCCAGCAGGGATAACGTGTGCTGATTGGTCGTTAACCACCATGACGCCTGCAGGCATAACGTGTGCTGATTGGTCGTTAACCACTATGACGCCTGCAGGCATAACGTGTGCTGATTAGTCGTTAACCACCATGACGCCTGCAGGCATAACGTGTGCTGATTGGTCGTTAACTACCATGACGCCTGCAGGCATAACGTGTGCTGATTGGTCGTTAACCACCATGACGCCTGCAGGCATAACGTGTGCTGATTGGTCGTTAACCACCATGACGCCTGCAGGCATAACGTGTGCTGATTGGTCGTTAACCACCATGACGCCAGCAGGCATAACGTGTGTTGATTTGTCCTTGACCACCATGACGCCTGCAGGCATAACGTGTGCTGATTGGTCGTTAACCACCATGACGCCTGCAGGCATAACGTGTGTTGATTGGTCGTTAACCACCATGACGCCTGCAGGCATAACGTGTGTTGATTTGTCCTTGACCACCATGACGCCTGCAGGCATAACGTGTGTGTTGATTGTCCTGATACCATGACGCCTGCAGGCATAACGTGTGCTGATTGGTCGCTGGCCACCATGACGCCTGCAGGCATAACGTGTTGATTTGTCCTTGACCACCGCGCCTGCAGGCATAACGTGTGCTGATTGGTCGCCGGCCACCATAACGGCTGCAGGCGTCGATATGCTGATTGGTCGTGACCACCATAACGGCTGCAGGCATAACGTGTGCTGATTGGGTCGTTAACCACTATGAGCGCCTGCAGGCATAACGTGTGTTGATTGGTCGTTAGCCACCGCGGCGTCTGTAGTCGTACCGTGTGCTGATTGGTCGCTTGGCCACCTGGCTGCAGGCATAACGTGTGCTGATTGGTCGTTAACCGCCACGCCTGCAGGCATAACGTGTGCTGATTTGTCCTTGACCTGCGCGATGCGCCAGCAGGCATACCGTGTGCTGATTGGTCCTTGACCACCATAACGGCTGCAGGCATAACGTGTGGTGATTTGTCGTGATCCACCATGGGCGGCGCCTGCAGGCATAACGTGTGCTGATTTGTCGCCCGAGCCACCACGGCGCCAGCAGGCATACCGGTGTGCTGATTGGTCGCCTGCCGCCACTAACGGCTGCAGGCATAACGTGTGTTGATTGGTCGTTAACCACCATGACGCCTGCAGGCATAACGTGGCGGTGTCGCCTGCAGCCTCGATGCGCCTGCAGGCATACCGTGTGCTGATTGGTCTTCTGACCACCACCAGCGGCTCAGGCATAACGTGTGCTGATTTGTCGCCTTGACCGCCATGACGTCTGTAGGCATACCGTGTGCTGTTTGTCGCGACCACCGGCGTCTGTCAGTGCATAACGTGTGTTGTTTGTCCTTGACCACCATGACGTCTGTAGGCATAACGTGTGCTGATTGGTCGCCCGGCCACCATGACGTCTGTAGGCATAACGTGTGTTGATTTGTCCCTGACCACCATGACGCCTGCAGGCATACCGTGTGCTGATTGGTCGCCCATTGACCACCGCAACGGCTGCAGGCATAACGTGTCTGATTTGTCCTTGACCACCGCATGACGTCTGTAGGCATACCGTGTGCTGATTGGTCCGCTTGACCACCGCGACGTCTGTAGGCATAACGTGTGCTGATTGGTCGTTATGCTTGACGCCTGCAGGCGTAGCGTGTGCTGATTGGTCGTTAACCACCATGACGCCTGCAGGCATAACGTGTGCTGATTGGTCGTTAGCCACTACCGAGCGCCTGCAGGCATAGCGTGTGTTGATTGGTCGTTAACCACCGCGAGCGCCTGCAGGCATAACGTGTGTGATTTGTCCTTGACCAGCTGACGCCTGCAGGCATAACGTGTGCTGATTGGTCGTTAACCACCGCGAGCGCCTGCAGGCATAACGTGTGTTGATTGGTCGTTAACCACCATAACGCCTGCAGGCATCGCGTGTGCTGATTGGTCGTTAACCACCGCGCCT